ATGAACCAAGTTAAATGTTTTCCCACTGCCTCAAACACTGGGGGTTTTCTAACGAGATACAAGGCAAACGATGGCGTGAGTGCGAAAAAAACAACCAAATACCAACTTTGGGTACAGTCTTTCACTCGAACACACTCTGTTGTGAACAGACCCTCAGTGAAATTCTGTTTACATTGTCCGCAAAGAATGCCAGTCCTGTTTCCTTGGCAACCGGAAAGCAGATAGCTATTGTTGTCGTAAAAGCATTTGTTATCAACAGTTGGCAAACAGCAGTAACCATCTGGACAAAGCTGAAAGGTAACAGTGTCGTTGTTTACTGGATAACCCCAAAAGTTGGGCTGGGCAGCAAGAGAAGACGAGCAGTTGCCTCCCGCAGGGCATGGATGACAATTGACGAGTTGCTTGACATTGTAGCCACTTTGTATTTCTCTACGGATACTGTAAGTTCCCACTGGACACCGCTGGGTATTGATCCAAACCAATTCTTTGCTCCCTCCTTCGTGATAACTATCTTTTTGTTGAAGACTTCGCATGTTAAGCTTGGTGTTGATTGGTGAATCGATTTGCACTGAGCCGTCCAAGACACCCTTTCCCGCTCCTTCAACAACAGCGATGGCTTTGCTGTCTGCACTAAAAGGATCCAAGATAAAAGAGCTGTTACGTATTTTGACGGTTTTAGATTGTATTACTGTCAAGAATCCATTAAATGCCACTAAATCTTTGGACTTTTCTCCCACATTATAGACCACTTGAGATTCTGCTGTTTGATGGAAGGTGGTATTCCGCATTGTTAAATTGCCTGGAAAAATTTGTATGTGTGAACTACCCACGCCTCCAAAGTTGTCTATAAAATTACAGTTTAGAATATCGACGGAGTAAACGTTAAGTAGTTTAAGAATGCAATAAATATGTCCAGAGTTGTTACGAAATTCCGTGTTTGTAATGATCGTCCGTATTTGAGATTTCCCGAGTTGCGGCGAAAAAATATATATCACTCCTGAAGAGCCAAGATTGTTTAGGAATGTGCTCTGTTCCAAGTGAAACAAGGTTTTCAAGGCTGTTAAATGAATACAGCTCCATCCATGGCAGTTATTGTTCACAAAGGAAACATTTTTTAAATGGTAGACTGATTGGAATTCTTCAGAAGTGCCGATCAACATGACAAAGTCAATATTATCACTTATAAGGGTGTTCTCCACAAGAAAACTCACAATACCACCCAAACCTTTCCCATGGGATGTCAAGTGTACTTGTATTCCACCGCCGGAATTGTTTTGTACTTTACATGAGCGTAGCACGAGGGAACTATTGCCAGGTGAAATCGTAATGTCTGATATGACACCTTTAGAACCACTATTGTTAATGAATGTCAGGTTTTGTAAAGTCATACTTGGCTGGAATGAATAATAAACCGTCAGTTCGAGGGTGCTGGTAATCTCCGTGGCCCAATTACGAAGAAATTTACAGTTCAGAATTTTCACGTCTGAATAAAGAGTGTCCACCACAGTATAAATGGCTCCGCATTCCTTTCCTTCCGCTTGGTTGTCTGTGAAAGTGTCATTGACCATGGATAAGTTACCCATGTGTGACACGTACAGAGCTACTGCACCACCTCCACAAGCAAGCCTATGACAAGTATCCCTCAACAGTGTTTTACCACTGAACTCTGAGTCATGAATACATATCGTGGTAGAGTAATAGAGCCGTTTAAAGAAACTTCCCACGGCTAGAGCGCCACCTGAAAGCCAGCCTTCATTTTTCACAAACCGACAGTTATTTATGTTCAGTAAAAGTGACCCCAGTATGTTGATAAATGCGCATGCTCCGCCACTTCTGCCTTTGTTTGAATTGAATTTTGAACCGTGCAGGCAAACCAAGGCGTTCTTTGTAAATCCATCGACCACAACTGCTCCTCCATCCATTCCATCGTAGTCTTCAAGTTTTGTTCTGGAATCGGGTATTCCATTCTTAGAGAACACTGATTTTTCGATTTTCAGGTCCATTGAGTCGCCATCATGAAGTTTGACTGCCCTGCCGGTATTTCTTTGAAACTTCGTCGTCTTAAAATTAATACTGAGGTTTGAAAAGCCATGTATATCGAAAATGCTTTCTCCAGCCGCCACATTGTTTTCAAAAACTACTCCCTCTGTTACTAGAACTAAGTCGTTTCTGCGTGTGACAGCAAAAACTTCAAAGCATGCTTTACCGGTACAAATATTCTGTGAAACCTTTATTTCTGTAAAATTGATTGCGATTTCTCTGTGATTTGCACGCACGTTTCTGTCGGACAAGTAAAATATTGCGTCTTCCTCACTCAGCAACGTATTGTAAGCAAATGTGGTGTTGTAAATGTTCAAGTTGACCATAGAATTGCCATAGATTATGATACCACTAGCACTGTTGTTCTGAAAGGTGCATCCGTCGAGTTGAACATTTTTTCTCACAGAATCAATGGCGTATCTTAACGTAAGCGCAGGAACAGAACTGTTCATAAAGCTGCAATCGGCCAGCTTGAAAGAGCAGTCAGAGAGATGAAGTGAAGTGTTGACGAAGGTTATTTGATCCAAAGACACTCCACCGAAGGCTGTCTTTCTCGAATTACACAAAAATCGAAGGCCCTCAGTCTTGCAAGAAATAAATGCTCGAGCGTTGTAACTGTGTATAGCTAGGCCGGCTATATCCAATCCTCTTCCATTCTCGCACGGATAAGGGTCACGGGACGTACCTGTACCATCTATATTAATTACATCACCATCAGACGCACGCGCAGTAACGTGTTGAATGGTTTTACATGGCATTGAGGCTTTGAGCCCGCAGTCATTCGTAAAGGTCCCATCACGTCTTGAGACAAACCATTGCTTCGCATGGACTCCCTCTAATAATCAAAATTTAAATTGTAAATAATTAACCACAAATAGATGTATAAATGAATGAATAAATAACAAGCCATGGGCAAATTTGGGATTCTGAGGGATCTGTTATTTCAACAGTTAGAGAAGCTTCGAGCCACTGAACTCAGAAAATGAATAGTGCAAAGAGGGATGCCGAGTTTCCTTAACACACTTCATATTACGAAGTTTTTTTTTTTAATTAAAGTCACATTTTCTGCTGGCATCACCACTCACTAAAGTATTCAACGAATAGAAAAAGGGAGAATGAACTCCTGTCCATAACAAAGAAGATCCGCAGGACAAGGCTAACTACAGACCAATCACTGTGTTACCCGCTGTGGACAAGATATTTCAACAGTTACTTTGCAAACAAATTTCCAATAGGAATAAAGGCTGATAGTTTCGAAAGAAACTGTTTGGGGCTGCGTCGGTGGGAGTAACGAAATAATTTGGATATATCAACAAAGTTGAAATGGTAAATTGGCCACCGTAACGATTACAAAAGCTGACGTTTCGAGCGTTAGCCCTTCGTCGGAGCGAATAGAGGAATTGTGGGTTGTGTGTGCTTTTAAAGGCAGAAAATGGAGCTACGTTATTGGTGGGAACATGGCAACGAAGGTGTTCTCGGAATCAGTCACCTAGTCTTCTACCTGTTTCGCC